CAAAATACATTAGGGCGAAAGTAGACATAACGCGGTTCATGAACCTTTAAATTCAAAATAATTTCTCAAACAAAATAAGCATACTTTGTAAAAAAAAGACCATAATCTCCATTCAATATATATATATGTATATTTTCGTTAATTAATTTTAATTAAACTTTAATTTAAATGACTTTTAAGTCTAATATAATTTTACAAAATAAAACATATTTTATATAACACACTATAGCTTATGCTAGATACAAACTTCAACGCTTTTTGTTGGATATCTACGGCTCGTATTATCCTCAAGTACATAACATATTCTCTTTTTAATAAAGAGACTTGTTGTACGTTTTCCATATTTATTGCATGTTCAATTCGATAGCTGTAAAACTTCGGAATATTATTCAATGACTAGGATAGCTGCCAGATTCATCACTTACCTGGCAATTTTTAATAAACCACAAGCATGTTTCATGTATAATCCTATGAATGTAGCGACAGCTACAATTATTAATATGTCAACACAGAAGAATACGATAAAATGCAATAATATGACATAAATGTATTTTTCTTGATTAACGGAGTAATTAATTGGAATATATATATATTGCGAATAAGTATTGTTGTTAGATAAGTAAACGTTAATAATATAAAGCGTTATTGGCGATGTCACGTATATAATTAGCATGCAGCAGGAAAGTACTAGAGTGCAAAAAAATAATTAAATATTTATTTTATAAGGATGGCTAAAATATATAAAATAAAAATAATAATATAAAAAGATAAATGTGTAAAGCATAACTTTATACATTTATATGCTCCATACTCTCTAAATCTGAATCAGTGAATAGTCACTGATATCAGTGTAAAGTATGCCACTTTTCATGAATCAGCATACTTTACGCTGATATCAGTGACTCACTGATTCACAGTACTATTCACTGATTCAGATTTAGAGAGTATGTAATTGAAATAGATTTCTCTTTATAAATAGATAATAGAACTGCAAATAAACAAATCTTATTATAATATCTTCTAATATAGAAAATGAACTTCTCTTTATAAATAGATAGTAGAATTGTAAATAAACAAATCTTATTATAATATCTGCTAATATAGAAAATGAACTTTATTTATGAAAATTTCTAGTAATATAAAAATAGGTATCTTTGAATAGTAATTTGTAATTTTGTAAAATGTTATGTATGAGAGATAACTGACAGCATTTTTCTTACATATTGTAAAGATAGTAATTAATCTCCAGTATTCGGTATATGATTTTATTATTTCACGTTCATGCTTATCCTTTAGTAAGTTCCAATCGGCTTGAACACGTTCAAATAGCTGTTTTATCTATTACCGAATATTTAAGAAAGACATATTTAATATGATTAATATAATATAAATTTAGTATTTATCGTGAATTGTGATGATTAGACTGTCTATTCTCTATTTCATAAAATCAATCTTCAGCAACACTCACACAGTAATTACAAATAAAATTAATAAATTATTTATTAGATATATTTAGAAGGTCTTACTCATGAAAAATTTTTACAATGTTAGATAACATGGTCTTCCAAACTGACTTTATTTCTGAACAAATTTTATTGAAAGTGTTAATAGAAGTGTTAATAAAAGACTTACAATTTTTGCATTAATGTTAAAGTAGTAATATTTTATTACGACCACGAGACTAGGAAATATAACGGACAAAACTTCGATGATGAGAGCTGTGCTACATTCATGTGTGATAAATGGAGATAACTGCAACATTACAGTTATGTAATATATTTAGAAGCGAAAAGCGTTATTCGGTAAAAACTTTTGATTTAATTTCATATATGTACAAGAAGCAATGATTAATCAGAAACACCGACAGATATGTTCGATCTAATAATTGAGAAGATAAAAATAATTTCTTCTAATCATACCTCAGCACAAATTCCGCTCGCCAGGATAGTACAAACAAACAGTCTCTGTACTTTCGCAAGTATCGATCTTTGATAGGGCCATATACCGATTATTAGAAGAAGGATACGATTGATTTTGTAACGCTGCTCTTCTTCGATAGCGTGCATCTTGCACGAAAGTTAGAAGCGGTTTGTAGAACGCAAGTTCACGAATTTTATTTCTTCTTTTATTTTATTTCTCTGAATATTATGATATAATCGCACGATCTAACTTTGCACTTAGAGAAATACAAAAATGTACAAATAGCTGCAGGAAGATAAGACGTAATATAGACGTTTTATGCATTTAAAAGATAGTGTAAAGCCACAAATTTTACTAATATTGTAATATTACATAAATAGAGATGATTGTATAATAGGAGTATAAGACGAATACATCATTTTTTTAGTGAAATATACCGAGCGAAAATTATCAATATAAGCAACGCAAGCGCAGTAATCGTGACAAGAGCGTATATCTTTTATTGTCAGTCGAACTGCTGTGCTTGTATTTACTTCTCTCGTTTCAGACATTTCAAATCTTTCTAGGTATTAATAAGAATAGTGCACGGTGCACGGTACTAGAATAATGCATTAATGCAAAAACAGTTTTATGTAATTGTAAGAACGTTTGTACGAGAATATGACTCATGTTTATATTTCTCGTAATCTTATTTAAAAATTACTAAAGCTAATTGTGGTGCATTTTTGTAAGAATTAAAGAATGACATCAGTTTTGATAAATTCGCAAAGTTTGTTTAAACTTCAGAGTTCTGTTCATAAGCATAAAATATATACTATAGTGTCTTATTCTAATTTATTAATAACATATTATCAATAATAATTAATACAATACACATTTTGTGTCGCTTTGAGCAATAACAACATAACTAAACTTAGTTTGTGTAATCGTTTTGATATAAGAACGTAAAATCGAGGAATTTAATGTGTATAATTAAATTATAAAATTTTAAGTTGCACATTTTTTAATTAATTTTATTCTGTATAATTATGTTGTGAACTTTTTGACGTTTATTGTTTATATATACGAGAATGAGCTATAACATTAAAACGTCCAGAGATATAAGATTTGTGTGAGATATATGAGTTACAAAACTTAATTAAGTAATATATTCAGTAGTGAGATTAGATCAGCAATTGGTCATAAAATGTCATTATTCAATCGACAGTAATCTTTTTAAAAAATTTTAATATTATTCTCTGAAAAAATTTTCATAATTCAACTATTTGATTTGCAGGTAAATTGTTTTCTTCTACTGACTCTAATATTCTTTTCTAAATGAAAGAATGAGAGAGGAGCTATATAGTAAAGGGAACAAAACTGAAAGACTTCTTGCTGCTTCAAACACAGAAACATGGTAATAGTGCAAAGAATTTTCAATAATAATATATTACATAATACATAATAACATACCTCACATTTAATTAATGATTTAATGACGCTCTTTAATTAACAAAAAAAGTCAAAGAGAAAAAAATTTTTATGTAGATAGATTTTTCTTTGCAACATACATGTATTTCTTTCACATCAAAATCACATTACTATTGTTATATTGATATAGTAGTTTACATACAGTTTTGAACAAAGAGCTCTAAACGTATAAAATACAATAATATTGTCAATAGAATAAATTTTATTGATATATAAATAATTAATATATAAATATATATTAGACATATAAATAATTAACCAATGTATCAATACAATGATTATATTATATATATTTAAGAGAGATTTTGTGCATGCTATGTACGATTATATTACGATTATGAAAACTGAAATTATTATTCCAAAATTATACATGATTAATATCTTAAATAGAAATACAATATATAAAGAAATAATGCTTCCTTATGTTCTCATGTGTATTCGCGGGAAAATAAAAATTGATATATTAATCGCGCTATTCATATCTTTTTCATTTTGATTGAACAGAATACATCACAGCGACGTAGGACAGCGCGGTATTAACAAGCTAAAAAGATACTTAATGTACACATCTTACAATTAGTAAAATTCTGTTGTTTTTTCATTGTTAGTTTTTCTTACCAAGGCGAAATTTTCTATCTTTGCCACAAATATGAAGCCGATCGTGTAGTAAAAATCTTTACCAGTTCTGCTCAATAAAAATAAAATCAGTTTTTGTGATGTGACAGGCATTAAATACCATGATGTACCATATCTAAAAGTAAGGGTGAAGAGGAAGAGAGCATGAGATAACTTAAAATACTTTATACAAAAGACTTTACGCGAAAAAATTTACTCTGATTGGAAAACAAATTTTATAAAAAGCAAATGAACTTTTGCTGTTTAAAGAAATAATTATAATTATTTTACACAGTATAGAAATGAAAAAATTAAGTCCTAGTAAAAAGATTATATAAAATAACGAAGAGAACTTTTACCTTGTAGGATTTGAATGTTCATATAAAGCTCCTACTATTAAAATATTTATTTTTTTATTTTCGCGTATTGCGAGCATTAATTGAACAAAAGTAATTACTAATACTTACACTAATTTAAAAATATTGTTATTGTAATCGGTGGCCTTCTGCCCAATATAATTCGCCATAAACATGTAAATTATATGACCCATAGTAGCAGTAAAAGATACAAATATATCATCCATGTCTTTTGTTAGTGTTATCGCTTGAACGAACTGTTTGATTAGAAATCATAATTTTTATAAGCTGCATGATCATTAGAATAATGCATAATTGTGTAAATTATAATTAATATTTATAAAATAAAAATCATATTTACTCTGAATAAATTGACACTCAATGAAAGCACTCCAAGGATAGCAATAAGGCAATATGGCACATTAAATGATGACGTCAAAATGTTGGAAAATCTTTAAATAAAAAGAAAAAGTTAAATATGAAAAAATCCTATGCAATGAAATTATCGTACAACATAACAGATGAGAAATGTTCATTTATTTTACTTATGTTTTTTAATTAAGTTAAGTTTTAGTTAAGTTTTTTAAACTTAAATTTATATCTTTATTTTCAAAAACGTCGGAACTAAATTATTGATATAGAACTAATGAAGATCTTAATGCTTTAAAAAGAAACAATAATAGACCTTACAGAAATAAATAAAATACAAAATGTACTGACTCTATAGCTCTACGATGTGCAATTACAACTTGGATAATCTTCTCGCAAATTGTACGTTCACAATTTGGCATATGTAACACATGATCATCAATGGAATGTTTCATTCGATGACTGCAAATATTCCCAAATTTAGTTTATGATTGATATATATTTCAATTGGTATAAATCAATATGAATCGATCGTTACCTGGCGATTTTGAACATCCCGAAAGAATGATACGTAAATAACAACAATTGCGTGCCCGTGGATGATATCATTGCCGCATATAATGAAATAATAAAAAATTCATGGAGTGCTACGATATAAAAATAATTATCCTGAGCGATAAAATATTCCACTATAATAATCGATTTACGTGACCGAGGTTCATCCAATGGCAAAACAAAGTCAAGAATAACCGGAAAAAATTGAGTAATCATTAAAGCGACTATTAAACAACCGCAACCCTCTGTAAGACACACATATTATAAATGTACTATAATTATATATTTTTATTTTATAACAGAGAAATAATATACTACATATATAAAAAAGCTATTGCGCTTTTTTTATAGATTTATGTTTGTTTGTGTACGTGGATGTCATACAGATTAATTATATATTAATTATAGATTAAAGATAAAATAAATAATAGCAGATATCTATATTTTAAATATTATTATTGACGATGTTATTTTTATGAGGTACTATGGATAAATATAGAACGGGATTAATAAAATGACATTTTCTTACTGAATATAATGATAATATAATTTTGGCAGTCATGAGCCTCTTTCTCCATAATATCATTTTCTGATTTATTTTGTATCATTTTCCAGTCCTCTTGGATATAATGATGTAAGATTTTTATCTATAATTAAAATGTTCATTGGTTTAACTAACGCTGTTAAATATATATTTCCACAAATAAAATCTGTAATCGTTGGTTGTACAAATAAATCGAGAAGCAACTCACAGTCTTTGATTTAAACATAAAAGCGCAATACTTCAGTGTAATTAATATAGAAGGGAAAGCGAACGACATAGTTTTAACGAAGAGGACCATATTGTAGTTTTTTGTAATAAAAACTGACAACTGAAAACAATAAATACAATTATTGTATCAATAATATAATAAAAGCAATCAAAAGCAGCATGATAAACAGACAATTTAAAAATTTTATTTTTATATGTTACAACTTGAATTCTGTTAGCTCCTCTAATGCTTCAGAAAAATATTGAAATAAAATAAATAATTTTTGAAAAATATAAATTATAAAAACTGACATTACGAGAATTGCTGTAGATATATAAACATTTACCTGCAAAATAATATATGTTACAGTTAAAGTAATGACCAGCACTCGTTGCCAAAATACCAATCGCGATCTGTCATGAGGCCAAATACCCAGAAGTTTTAAAAAAGTTTTATTGATTGATGTATAATAATGTTCTTCGACTAGATGCATGTTGCACTAAAGACGAACTTCAAGTGAACAGTGAAGTGTCGGGGCGAGTACATATTAACATTATAAATGTTTGCTTAATATCACACTATTTCTTTTTCCTTTAAATTATCCAAGAAACGGAGGACAAACGGTGAAATATATTTTTGCTAAATAATTGATATTTGCCGTAATAAATATGTGATATACATTGAAATTATTTAATTCGACGAAAAAGTTATAGTCACATCGGTGTGTGTTTCTCGTCTAAGAAGACTAAAAAAAAAAACGTAAATTATCCAAATTACTGTAAGACTTTCCTTCGTCTCATCATAAGATAATAATACTTCATATTATCGCTTCCCATAATTTTGATACACATGCGCAGTGAAGCGTATGTTCCGTAATGTACCGAACGACGTATCAGTCCCTTTTCAACCGTCGAACGCGACAGGTAGAGTATACCTATAGGTAATCTATAGTCATGCATAAAACAACAAATCGACTATTTTAAATTTAATAAAGTTAAATATTTTATTATCCATTCAATTATTTAGAAAACATATTATAAGGCTTTTTCAGCGCCTAATTTAAATTTGTATAAAAAAATAAAAGTATAAAAAATATACGATTAGTGAAAGAGACATATTAAATCTAATTATTAGCCAAATATATTATGTTAAATATTATGTTAAATATATCGTATACAACAATACTAAATTATATATTTTCTCGAAATATACAGTCATAGATCAGAAAAAAATATTTTAAATAATAACTAGAATCTATTTTTCGTGATTAAAATAAGTCGGTATGATAACAATAACAAGTGATGTAAACCTCTTTCATTTACCAATATTTCACTTATATTGCTAAACTCAAATAAAATATTATTTTCTTTTTAATGATTTATTTGTATATATTTTTATTAATGCTGCGTATCAAGAGTGTTGGAGTAAAAAAATATACATTTACATATATTGTTAGTAGCATATATTCAACGCATTTTCTATGTACATGCGTTACACAACTATGTTAATTTGATAACAAATATAATTGAAAATTGATTTTTTTTCTGATTTATTATTATCGCGTAGAATAAATCACTGTGAAGTAGGATACTGCCGTACTCGTGAGCTAAAAGTAAATATTGCTTTATACGTTACACGGATATTGGTAGTTTAATTTCCTTTTCTGTTAAAGAAATTTTAATTTTACCGAAGCAAAACCATCCAAAGATGCAACGAATATGCTAAAAAACGATATGTTAAGATTTACGCTTCCTCTTTGCATTATAAATAATAACAATTTCTGCGTAGACAATGGCGCTGCATACCATAATCCATTATAACTACAATTTTTTAAGATAAATTTTATATAAAACTAATATAAAATTAAAGATGTTTTGCTAATTAGCGCAAAATTAACTACATGTTTCCAAATATCGGAACAGTAAACACAACATCGGCTTAAATCAAATTTATAAAATAAATCTATGTAGATCTGCATCAGTTACAATCTGTATAAAGACGCAATACTCACATGGCTTTGAATAAGTCTACTCCGTTATTGAGCACTATTTGTCCGCAATAATTAGCCATAAACAAATAAGTCAAATGAGCAAGTATTAATATAACGATCAAAAATGCTTTACTGATATTATTTGATGATAATACTTGAAAAAACTGTAACAAATTATTGTGTAAAAAGCAGTTCAAAATAAAATAGAATAGAGAAAAACGCTACTTACTAGATAAAGACTGCAAGTTAAAGAACTAATGCCAACTACGATCAGAATAACGAATGGAATTAAAAAAATAGATGTCATAAATTCATTAAACCTTTAATAAAAAGCTGAGTATTGAAACTATTACATTATCAATTTAAATACAGCATTAAATAACATATATGTTATTGGACTCAACGTTTTACAAAGATACTATATTGTTAAATTTAAGCAAGTTATGAAATTAACTGCAAATATTTAATGTTATAGATTTAACTCTTGGATATTGATTAATTTTAAATTTTCATCAATTTGAATTGCATTTAACGTAAAGATATATCAATAAGATAATCACTGAATATCAAACGTGTGATTGTGATTGTGTATAATCTTTGTTAGATGTAACGAATGAAAAATGACTCTGTAAATAAAATACTATTACAGAAAGTTTTATGACAAAAGTATACTGACTCGGCAGCTCTTTGATGAATAACAACTGCATGTATAATCTTCTGATGAAGAAGATACTTCTTTTCAGGATTAGGGATTGCTAATATATTTCTCTCGATAGCATTTTCTATTCGATAGCTATATAAATCTACTAATGTATATTATGTTTGAAACAAACGTTCAATAAAGAACAACAAGCACATTTTATATTACCTTGCAATTTTAAGTAATGCACATAAATGCGTTACATATGTCATAATTGTCGTACCAGTGCCATACACTGTGATCGTTCCTATGAAGTAGACTAAAAACTCATGTAGCATCATAACCTGGATATATTTATCTTGACTGACAAAGTATTCTTTGATCACGAAAAGCTGATAAGGTCGTGATTCGTTTAATGGTGATATAATATCGAGGATCAACGGTAGACGTTGAAGTATTCCGAAAAGGAATACGGCAATGTAACTAAACGCTGAAAAATATTAAATTTAACTTGATAATTTAACTTGAATTTAATTATGTAAATTACCTTAAATAAGCATTGCAATATGCGTCAAAATACACCTATTTTGAAAAATATTAATGTAAAATAAATAGTTTTATACATATCTATATAGAATATATAACTACAAATTGTGTTACCCATCGCACTTATTGTAAAAAGTCTCAGATTACTAGCGTATTTTTCTATAATATCAATTTCCAATTTATCCTTCAACGAATTCCAGTCATTTCTGATCTGCTCCATTAATTGCTTCAACTGTACCATTTTTCTTTATCAACATTTAGAATACACTTTACTTTATAAATGTTACAACTAAACGTTCTCAAATAACCGGCTTATCTCGTTGAACTTACACTATTTGTTTCAACGATAAAAAGGAAATATTTTACAGTAGCGAAAAGAACAGGAAGGACGAATGAGAGAATTGTGAAAAGAAGATCCGTATTGTACTGTGTTGTAATAAATACCAGCAACTAAAAATAATATTTAAGATATATATTGATTACAAATTATTTCTACATAAATATTTAACACGTGAAACAAATTTTATCACACGATAAAAGACAAAGCAATTATTTGAGGAATTTATATAGAGGAAAGTCGCCTATTATGAGATAGGGATCCTAATATGAGATGGCGGGGTTTTTTAATGGTGGGATCAACAGATGGGGCCTATATAGGGCCTTTTAGCTCAATTTTAGCTAAAATATCTCATATTAGGATCCTGTCTTATAATAGGGAACTTTCCTCTATTAATTATATTAAAAGACTATTATAAAAGTACTAATAAAAGAGGTTGTCGTGTAGTGTTATACATACCAAATAAAAAAGATGTGATAAAATTAAGGAAAACATTCATTAATGCGTGTAGGTATTTAAGAATTATATATACACTCTGTTACTATTTCATTATAATATTATAAAATTTTAGATTTGTTATACCTGAGCAAGAATAAATGTCAAAAGAATACTAGCAAACAGAACTTTATGTATTTGCGTGAAATACGATTGCTGATAGGGCCATAACCCAAGCGTCTTAAGAATTATTCGATTAATCTTATAGCGTTCCTCGATCACATACATTTCATACAAAAGCTACGACACAACTGTGTCCATGGTAAAAATTATTGTACTATTTTTCTTGAATATCTCGTGAATTTCAAACGATCGATACAATAAGAGTATAAGAAAATTATGCTATTTTAACATTGAAGCAATATATTTCATGATATGGGCAGAAGTAAATTAGTCTAAATTACCTCAATTTAGAATGGTGTTTCTTAAACATAATAATTGTTTTGCGCAAACGCAGTTACGACTTCTATTTCTTAGTAGTAGAAAAGATTTCAGTTTCTTCAGGAACGTCATGAGGAGTCTTTCTCCTCTTATACAGAATTATCGAGTGCATTGCGAATCATAAGTCAAACGCAATATTTTGCGATTTAATTTAAAGAAAGTATAAAATATGTAGAAAAAGATACGAATTTATCTAAAAATTATTTGTTTAACCCGAGCGTATATTACCATATGTATGCAGAAAATTACGAAATACAATACATGATGCAATATATATTTGACGAAAAAGATATTTTTGTTCTACGCAATTTTTTATAATTTATTTATGCTTTTTTCAATGTAAAAGTTGACATAAAAACATATCCTTTGATAGTAATTATCTAGAAATATATAAAAATTGTTGCATAACTTTTTCTTGAGAAAATAATGTGTTTTATAAGTATTAGCCTAATAATTATAATATACATTAATATGGATAATTTAATTATCTTACATATTTTACTTCATATGTTTAAAAAGTTGTACGTTTTAGTTTATAAATTATACGTGCCTACTAAAATTATGAAAATTTATAATATATCTCATTTTATTTTTTCTCAAAATTCTAACAGAATTACATAACAATTTAGTAATGCAAACCTACATAATGCGAAGCTTTTTACATGTTATCATGTGCATATTTTATTTATGGGAAAATAAAAGGTTTATTTATTTATAGATCATTTTATCACCAGGCAGAGAACAATCGCATGTATTGACGATCCCCGATGGGTTTACACTTTTAAAAACATCTCATGACATGCGACTCACTGATTCTCGTTTTTTGTGAACATGAAGCAATTAATGGAACCATACACAATTAACTAAGTAAATAAAAAGATAAATTAATAGACGCGACTGTACATCACAGCGACATAGGACAGCGCAGCATTCACAAGCTAGACAAAAATTTAAATTTTCTTTAATTACATATTTTAGTAAAATTCTGTTATTTTTTTTATTCTTCGTACTCCTTACCGCGGCGAAAGTTTCCATCTTTGCCACAAATATAATGCCGAATGTGAAATAAAAATCTTTGCCAGTTTTTAGCATAAAAAACAAAATTAGTTTTTGCGATGACACTGGCATTAAGTACCACGATGTACTGTATCTAAAAATTTAACAAGGGTCTTATATCATATGTATAAGAAATGCGGAAGAATTTATATTAGAATAATCAAAAAATGAATTTCATGGAAAGCATGATGGAATTTTACTGCTTAAATTCCTGTCTAAATTGTTCTTGATTTATATTTCTTCTCCAAAAACGAAAGAATTACACATTCTCTATTTTTTTTTATATCTTGTGCAAGATATAAATAATTAGCTAGAATGTTCAATTCTTGTAATTTAGAGAGCCAAAAGTAACAGTTTTGACATTCATTTTCTGATTGCTGCGTATAGTACTACAAAAAGACTAGCTACTTACATTAATCTAAACAGTTCGTTATTATAATCAACAATCTTTTGTCCAAGATAATTCGCTACAAACATATAGACTAAATGAACTAATGTCATAAGAAAACAGAATAGTAAGTTGGTCATGTTCTTTGATATCGTTGCCGCTTCCACAAACTGTCATATGGGAAAAATGACTTATTGATATTAACATTGTAAATTTAATGATATTACTACAGCAAATTTATGTTCAATGTATAATTCATTATACATTTTACATGAGATTTTACTTACTCCGTACAAATTGATGCTTAACGAAATTACTCCAATAACAGCAATGAAGCAATATGGTACATTAAATGATGATACAAAAATATTGGAAAATCTTTAAAAAAAAAATTAAACGGGAGATCTTAAATGAAGAAGTTATCATTCAATTGATAGCAGATGATACTTGTGAAATTCTAATAAATAGTTATCTTAAGTAGGAATAATTAGTCTCGAAAAGAAAAAAAAATTAAATATCTTTAAAATACAGGCATACGTAAGTGTGGCGTCGCGGAATGCCATTTGAATCTCTTTTGCCTTCTTTAATGTCTTTATGTTCGGAAATATCAAAATCAGACAAGTAATAAAAGTAATTATAAAGACAAGTATTTAAAAAAAAATATATATTATAATTACAAGAAAGTTACTGTAAAAAGAAATGTGTTACTATAATAAAATAGTTACTATATAAAGAAATCTGATATACTAACTCCATAGCTCTACGGTGTGCAACTACGGCGTGCATTATCCTTTTGTAAATTGCATATTCTTTCTCGGGATTTGGTATGTGGAATACGCTATTCTCAATGGAATACTCTATTCGATGGCTGCAATATTTTCAAGATTAATTCATGATTAAATTAAATTAAGTCGATACATAGTACACATTGATCGCTACCTGGCAATTTTAAACATCCCGAAAGAATGACAGCAAAATACTAACATTTGTGACGCCGTCGCGAATACAATTAACGCACATATCACAATGATCACAATTTCATGAAATGCTTTAGTCAAGAAGTATTTATCCTGAGAAACAAAGTATTTCGCTGCAACAAGAAGTTTACGTGGTCGTGGTTCGTCCAACGGCAAAACAACGTCAAGAATATTCGGAAGAAATTGGACGATGGCTATAACAATTACTACAAAATCGGCGAATACTGTAAGACATGTAAAACAAAAAACCTTTATAAATTTACATGCAATGACTATAATTGTAATTATTTTATATAATTATTATTTTGTGCATTTTTTCATGCACAGTATTTATTTCGTGAACAATACTTTATTTCCATAAGCGAAAGGTATTTTATATTTAGAACTAGTAAAGAGAGTAAATCTATATATTTTTTAAATATTTATAAAGCTACGCTTGCTGGAGAATAATCTTAACAGAATATGCATTTTAATTTCACATTAAAAAGCAATCGGTATGTAGAAAATCTTTTTTTTTATGTTACAGAATAATAAATAATTAAATATATCTAGTTAGTAGGAATTTTAAAAATATTATTTATATACATTTTTAATTTCAGAATATTATTTTTATAGTAAATTATAGATAGATATATAGAACTAAGATTAACAAAACAATTTTCTTACGGAACAGAACAATAGCAGAAATTCGACTACAATGAGCGTATTCCAGTATAATCTTGATTTCTAATTTATTTCGTATTATCTTCCAGTCCTCTCGGATGAGATAGTGCAAATTTTGTATCTGTCATTTAAATATTTATTAGTTTAATTAACATTTGTTCAATGTAACTTCGCGATTGAATAGTTGTTTGTGCAAATCGATTTAGAACTTACAGATTTTGCCTTCAAGATAAAGATGCAGTACTTTATTGTAATTAGTATAAAGGGACAAACAGCCGACATAATTTTAATGAAGAGAGTCATATTATATCTCATTGTAACAAAAAGTGATAACTAGAAGCAATTAATAAATATAATGATCGCAACAGATTATAATAAAAGTGTTTTATTACGCTGTAAAACGAATAAACATTTTTAACGTTAACTTTATTTCATATAATAGTTCTAATACATTTTACTCTTTAAAAATTATTATAATTAAAGATTAATTAATGTAAATAATTTTTAAAAAGTATTTAACTTTTTAAAAATGTAAGTCATATATTGTTTTTGATGATGATATAAACATTATAAACAAATGAACTGTTACCTGCATGCCAATATACGTGATGGTTAAAGTAGTAATTAACAACTGCTGCATTAATGCAAATCGTGATTTATTATAAGGCCAAATACCTAATATTTTTAAAAAAGGTTTATTGATTGTATAATAGTGCTCTTCGATTAGATGCATAATGCACTAAAGACAAACTGAGACTGAACAGCGTAGTTTCGAAGCGCGTATTAAGTCCACATATTGTTTATATCGATCTCTCATCCCTTTTCTTTTAAATTATCCGAGAAACGAATAATAGAGTGTATATTCTTGATGAATATTTAATACTTATCAAAATGTGCTTGCGATATACAATGAAATTATTTCGTAAAGAAAATTTTGTATAAAGAAAGCTATCTTTTCTGAAATATTATGAGAAATAAGAAATAGGAAAATAACGTAAATTATTCAAATTGCTATATGAAACCGCCTTTACTGCGAGATAATATTGTTCTATTTTCCTTATTTCTAAAGCACATGCGCAGTGGCAAGTACATTCTACGATGTATTGAACGGCTTATCAGTCTCTTCTGAACCACCGAAACTTACGCTGCAGATCAAGTATAGTTACGAAATGATGAATTCGCTTTAAAGTTCGACAAGTTTAACATCTTGCACGTTTGTATCATTTCAATTAATTATACACTCCAAGCCATTTTCGCGATATAATTAATCATTTCGAATAAGATAAATATAGAAAAGAAATATAATACGGTTAATAACAGAAATGTTGAATTATATGTCTTACAATTAGTCAATTGTATGTCTAGTCGATTGCGTATTATGATAATTATTGTTATCGCATTGGAATAAATCACTGTGAAGTAAGATACTGCCGTATTCACAAACTGAAAAGTAAATATTACTGTGCACATTACATGAACATTAAAATTCAATTCTTTTTTTCTATCGTAAAATAAATTTTACCGTAGCAAATATTTCCAAGGTTGCAACGTATATTTTATCACATACAAGAGCAACAATTATTGTTCATCTTCGCATTATAAATAATAAATTTTGTATATGCAAAGGTGCTACGTACCATAGTTCATAATTGCAATTTTTTCATCAATAAAAAAGTATAACGTTACTCATTCAGAAAAAATTGATATTTAAAGAGCTGATGCCAACTACGAGCAAAATAGCGAGTAATATCGTGAATGTATATGTAAGTAAAAATCACAAAGTCAGGAAACCTTTAAAGAGAAGCTGAATATTAAAATTGCTAAAACTAATACATACACATTATTATTATTAATAATACAAGATAACACATTCATTTACGATAACTATTAACACATTCATTAACGATAACTATTATACTATTATATAAATATGTTCTATTCACATATTAATATTCAATGATAACTGCCTGATTCTATGTACAACATTATGTAAAACATCATGTCATTGTCGATGTGTGATGTTAAACATACAGCAAATGTTTAATATATTGTTAACTCTTGAATATACTTAATTTTAATCAATTCAACATTTAAATTGTGCTAAATGCGATTTTATATATCGATAAGATAAGATATATCAGTAAAATTCATTTAATATTAAATATGCGAAATAGTTTCAGAATCAGCCAGTTATGGATAAAAACTCACTCTCTAAAAATAGGATACTATGAAAATTATTTACAGAAGTATTATAATAAAAATATAAAGATACTGTCGGCTCTTTGATGCCTATATAGCAACCGTGCAATGCGATCTTTTGATAAAAAAGATATTTTGTTTTAGGATTAGGACCATTAATATATTTTTCACGATCAAATTTTCGACAACTATATAAATCTACTTATTAAGTAAATTTTAATTAGAATAAAATTCAACAATAAAAGCTTAAGAAAAACAAGCGCATTTCACATTACCTTGCGATTTTAAACAATGCACATGCGTGCATGATATACATTATACATAACAATTACCACACCAATGTCGTATGATGCAGTCGCTCCTACGTACCGGTTAGTAACTCATCGTGTAATATTAAATAGTAAATACATATATCTTTCCTGGTTAACAAAAAATTCCGTGAATAGAAGATGAAACAGCTGTGATTCGTTTAATGATATAACATTAAAAACCTAACCAGCGGGAAAAATTCAAATACGAGTACAAGAGAATCTGATTAAATAGCAATACTGAGGAATATTAAATTTAATTTGATTCAAATCAAGAAAATTATTTCGAAAAGATTGCTCAAGATGCATTATGGTAACTCATATTCTTACCTATATATCACAGTTATTGCGATCAGTCTCATGAGCATATTTTTGTATGATGTCAATTTTCAATTTATCTTTCAATGAATTCCAATAAACCATTTGTAAAATAAACTTTAATGTTTTATTATTGACACAATGATAAACAAGGAATTGAGGCTTTTACATTTATAATAGAAATATGTATATCTATTCTAATTATGTTGCTAGAACTATAATTAGAAAGCTTGTTCTTTAATTCTTTAAAGGATATTTATTTATTAGCGTATTAGAAATGAAAGATATTTTTTCTTTTAATACACAATATTCAACATGAATTTACATTGTATTTATATTGTATTTAATAAAGATCTGCTGTCAATTTCTTAATAATAAATTTTTCGCTTTATTTTTGTTGCGCAGAATAAATCAATGTAAAGTAGGATACTGCCGCATTTACGAGCTAAAAAGGCATATTATTATGCATAAGTAAACATTAAAGTTTGAGTTTTTTTTATTGTTAAAGAAGCCTTAGCTTTACCGTAGCGAAACCTTCTAAGGATACAACAAATATGCCTCCACATGTGATGCTTATTGTTTTCTTTTGCATTATAAACAATAACAGTTTTTGCGTACGCAACGGTGCTCTGTACCATACTCCAGTGTAACTGTAATTTTTTAAACATTGAAAATAAAATTAAGTGCAAAGTAGTAAAAAGTTAACGACAATTTTACGATATTAATTAACGCTAAATTATCTGCGTATTTAGAAATGTCGGAAGAATGTATGTATAGTAACAATTCTAAAGAATAAATGTATTTAGATATATGCATATATGGATATATAACTTGTAATAAATACCAATCGAAAAGTACTGCAAAAAAAAACAATACTCACGTTGCTTTGAACAGCTTTAGACCATGATTTAATAATTGTTGCCCACCATAATTAGCAACAAACATATAATTCAAATGTAGGAGTATCAATACAGCGAACATAGATGCCTGACTAGTATTTTTTGTTAATGTTATTAATTGAAGAAACTACGATATGTAACATTATGTAAAAATGTGGTCCGCAATTAACTAAAGTAGGAAACGATATTACTTACTTCATAGAGAATGAAACTTAAAGAACTGACGCCAAGCACGATTAGGAGAGAGAATAATGTCGCAAAACTGGATGTCAAAAGTTCAGCAAATCTTTAACGAAGTTTATATATTGGAATTATTGCATGACAAATATAAAGTAAACATATATATTCACTTCAAAATATATATTTGGTTATAATAATTATTAAAAACACAATATATATATAACATATTATATTTTAATCATATGTCGTTTAATGTTAACAATAGCTGTCTACGTTTCTACATTTTACAGAGATATGTTTATAAATTTGAATGTGTTATTAAAATAAATAGCAAGTATTTCAGATTTATTTTATACGGAATTTTTAAATATATTTGATTTTACGTTTTAAATAATTTGAGCTTTGAATTATACGTTTAATACAAGGATACATCGATAATAGGTTTAGTCTTAAATGTGCGATTTTAAAAACAATAATCTTGCAATCGATTAACTAGTATAAGAAATGTCTAAAAAATAGACTGCTTAATAGAAAATCTTGTAACAAAAATATAAAAATACTGACTTGCTGGCCCTTTGATGCATAACAATCGCATGCACAATCCTCCGGTGAATGAAATATTCTCTTCTAGGACCAGGAATCATTAATGTATTCTTCTCGATCGCACTTTCTATTCGGCAACTGCATAAACTTATCTGAGTATATTTCAAATAAAACAAGTGCTCAAGTAAATGCGTTTCACATTACCTTGCGATTTTAAATAATGCACATGCATGCAGGATACATATTACAATTATCGCACTGGTACTACACAGTGCGGTCGTTCCTATAATGTAGGCTAATGTCTCATGTAACAGCATAGCGTAAAAATATTTTTCCTGATCGACAAAGTATTCCGTGACCACGAGAAGATGATAAGGCCGTGATTCATTTAACGGTAAAACAACATCAAGAATTATCGGCAAAAATTGGAATATTGCGCAACATAGTAAGCCAAAATAGCAATATACTGAGAAATAATAAATCTAATTTGAGTTAAATTATGCAAATTATTTCGAAAAATTGTCCAAAATGTATTTTTTGTCTTATCAGTAAAAAAGATTATTAGGAGAAATAATATTACGTGTATTTTACCACAAAAATCATGGCAATTCATATTCTTACCTATTATAACTATTGTGAATAGCCTAGCGTTGTAAGCATATTTTTCTATAATGTTAATTTCGAACTTATCTTTCAACGAATTCCAATCGTCTTGGATTTGGTCCAATAGTAGCTTCAACTGTTTATTCCATATTTTTTCTTAACAATGGTTAGAATGCAATTTACTCTACAAAATATTATAATGAAACGATCGACTTGTTTTCTTAAACTTACGTCATTGGCCTGAATGATAAAAAGGCAATATTTTATCGTGTCGATAAGATTGGGAAGGACGAATGAGAGAGTGTCAAAGAGGAGATTCGTATTGTACTGCTTTGTAATAAATGTCAGTAACTAAAAATAACATTTAGAATATGCGTTGGTTATAAATTTTTTCTACGTACCATCAAAATATATTTCACACATAAAATGCACCTTATCTTACGATAAAAGACGATATAAGTTTATTTAAAATAAAAAAAGTTATAAAAATAATTGTTATATTATTAATAAATGATTGCTTTATTATATAAAAACATATAAAAAATAATTAATAATAAAGAGCGATAAAAAAATATTATTAATTTACGCATTTAAGAAATGCCGGTATTTAATCGCCTCTACAAAAATCATATAAACGTAGTTCGATATACCTGAGCAAACATAAATGTCACAAGAATACTGAGAAACAATACTTTCTGTAGATGTGAGAGATATGACTGTTGATAGGGCCATAAGCCTATTGTCTTAAGAATTATTCGATTGATTTTGTAATAGCGTTCAATCGCGTGCATTTTACACGGGAATTGTAACGCAACTGTGGAATAAACTTTAGACTGTCGGTTTATTTCTCACGAAAGCTTCTGCGAATTTTTAACGATCGATACCCCCTCGCGCGAGGTGAGCAATCGCAAAAACGGTTATATTCTTCTACTAATAGTGGAATAATAAATTCATGTTATAGACGAAAGCGAATTAGTCTGAATTACCCAATTTTGTAATCGAAAGTAATATTTCTTTTAATACATAGGGTAAAGAATATTTTTGCGCAAACGCAGTCATGACTTCTTTTTCTTAGCAATGGAAAAAGTTTTAGTTTCTTTCGATGCTCTATAGGATGCGTTTCTCGCTTTGCATCAAGTGTAGTGCGATCACATATAATATGGAGGTATTCACATTAACTATTGTGCATTAACTTTATGGCTGGATTCGGGGAGCGCGCTATTAGCGCTATTTGCTTGTTCTATCCTTGTTTTACACCTGATGAGCGATAAAGACAGAATGATGCAATAGCGCTAATAGCGCGCTCCTCGAATGCAGCCTATGCATGTAGTATCTAATATGTAGGTATCTCTACATACCTACTATGATTTTGCCGCTTATTTCTTTATTATATATTTACAAACTTGTAGTTAAAATACTAATATGAAAATTTTCATACAATAATAAGAATGTTAATTATTTATAAGTGAGATTTAAACCTAATTAACCGTTAACAAACAAGTGAATAGAAAATGCAATATTTTACAGTCGGACTGGATCTTTTGTGACTAATAACATTTTTTACGTCAATTTCTGTGCTTAGTAAAAGGCGTGTTTGTTCTAAGCAGAAAATGTACAAAAATTTACGAGAAAAATATTATTGACATAAAAAATCCAGCCCGAAGCCCGATCGTATATTTTGGTACATTTTCTATTTACTTGAATGTTTATTTAGTTTATTTATTAAAATAATTATTTCTTTAAGACTGTAATACCTACTCTCTAAATCTGAATCAGTAAACAGTACTGCGAATCAGTGAATAGTCACTGATTCAGATTTAGAGAGTATACACAAAAGTATGCAACGTTTATATTTGATTTAAAAATAATTTAATGCAGAGAAATTTAATGCAATATATTATACATATGCAAAGAATAAATTTAAATTTTCTCACAAATTGTTTTTAAGATAGGCATATCAATCGTTGATACAAAAACATGAAATTCTGATGTACATATTCTTTAAAGAAAAATGACTCCTTTTTTACGCAATTTTATATACACATTCATGCTTTACTCACCGCAGAAATCGCATCAATCACCCCGATAGTAACTTTGTGTACTTACCTGAAAAGAAAGAAACAATATATTAATTATGGTTAACAATAACTTAACAATTATGACTATTTCATAAAACTATTACGGAGTGCTCGTAAAAATATAATTATTATATGTATTCATAATTATATAAATATATAAATATATCTATATATTAATAATGTTTCAAATTTTCTCTTACACATGAAATATAAAATTTTCGTTAACGTTCTATTATTATATCACAAATTTTAACATTTTTCATATTGAGTTCTATTTGAAACGTTATAACTAATAAATATATACAAAAAGCAAATTATTTGATGATTAACGTGAGAGAATTATTGAAGTGAGAGAAGATATTGTGCGACATTAATGAATATCCTTATTTTCTTTTGTAGTCTTTCTATTTTTCATATGCAAACTAATAAAAACGTAAATTATTTTAATTGCTTGGTCTATATAAAAAAAGGTATATCAGGTATAAAGGTATAAAAAATTTCCTTTGTATGTAATGCGTGATGATGTTCGTTATTATGTATTACGTTTATTGTTCCTGCAATGGATGAGAATTCATCTCATTTCCTCATAATTCTTCAGTACTCCAATCAATTCCTTATAAACAGAGGCATGTACACGGAACGAAGATTGGAAGATCTCGAACTCGGGATATGATGTTCTTTATTAATATTGTTATTTTACAGTCTGCAAATTATAATATAAACTATGAGAGGGATGCCGCATAGCTCAGGGTGGGAGCATTGGTCTCATAGTTGGTCTCATAGGGTGTCAGGTTTGATTTCTCATCTCACGTATGGATTTTTCAAATTCGTAATCTGCATAAACTGAGAATAGGGAGGCCCTGACAGAAATCTTCCTAGTTAAAGATTGTGTTAGCTGACAACTACATCATGTGAAACACTTATTGTTACAAATGTTCATGAGGAAGTAAGCCGAATCTTTAGGACAGGCCAAGATTTATTCAGGGTTATGAAGTCAATATTGATTTCGATTGGTATTGATTGTCTTTAAGAAAAAATATGCTTCTGCTATTCTTTTTATTTTTTATAATTTAAATTATATTATCACTGCAAAGTTTTTTTTTCAAGTAAAGTAGCATTATTAATATTACCAGTTGCAAAATTGACTATAAACATTCGTGCGTCACTATAATTAATCTTTATTTTGTAGAATAAATTACTGTGAAATACGGTATCAATGTTATTGTAAACTAGAAAACATAAAATATATAATAATATTAATAATAAAATTTAGTACAATATGAATTAAGTGCGTAATTAATTATGATATGCACGTTATCATTGTGAAGCTGTTATATGAAAATTAAATAAACCAAATAGCGTTATGCAGAATGTACCGTAACATGTGGGACTTCAGTGGACAGGAGACACAAAAAGAATGAAAAAAGTTCCTATAAAAATGTGTCAAAATATTTAACCTTATTTTCGAGTTATAGTCATGTTTGTATTCCATTATAATGTGGAGCTGCTTAACGTTATAAGAAGTGCTTAAAATGACCACCTTCAGCCTGAATGCAAGCCTATACGGTCGTCGTGTCGTAGAATGCCTCACTCTTTCAAAAATACCCAGGTGTTTGTCGGATTCGTTGGCAGCCTTCTTGTATACGTTGACGAAGCCATTTCAATGCTGATAATGCGGGTGTTGAATAAACAATTATTTTCAAGGCTCCATAAATAAAAATCTAATGGATTTAAATCTGGAGAACACGCAGATGAATCATAGTTTTTTGTGTGCAGTCGTGTCAGCGTCGTTCATCGTTCGCTATACGTGACTCCACTTCTCGCTATCATGCTCGCTATGATGCTCACTGTTGCTAAGAGATTTAATAACTATAAGACATTTTACATGCCTACCGAGTCCGGTCTATCGCTTCTCATGCGCTCATTAGCTTAGACGTTTTAATTAATTGTCTATAATAAATATTAGTATATATATTGCGGATTTTGCAAGATGGTACATGACTTTTTTTCAGTTTGACCCAATCTACCTTCACGTTTCGGTTGATTAGTGACTTATCTGACACCCTGTATACATACTATATTTTTTATATATCAAAGGAATTAAATTTAATTATTTTCGATAAACTATATGTTAACAAGATACGTTTTAATAAATTTTATTTGTTGATTCTGTGTTCTCTTAAATAAATGACATTATTGCTTATTTCCGTTTGCATGCATGTATTATATGTCAAGTGCTAGAAGTCAAAATTATTTTTGCTATGTTAATGCCGTTAATGGTACCGCATGTATTTATATTTTATATAATAATATGATGTGTATGTTTTGTTTGAGTAAATATTTACTTAAGCAATAATTACGTACCTATAAATCCTTAATTATCTTTTGTAATATGTGCAAATACCACTACATTAAAATTTCTGTAACTAATTAAAATTTTTTACATACTATTTCGCCGACACAGTATATATTGCAGTAAAGTATGATATTGATGTAGTTGCAAGCTAGAAAAATATTTTAATGTTTATGTCGTTAGCAATAATTAAGTTTCATTGTTACATATAATGTTACACAACATTATTATTTTTTAAAATATGCATTAAATG